AAATTGAACACATGCAATAATAGCTGTGCTCAAGATTTGAAATTCTGTTCCTCCTTGAGAAAAAGAGAAAATCTCAGACCCAAACAATCCTCTCAGCTGCAGGCTCACCATTAATGCTGTCAAGTTCATTGTTGCGCAAGATCAGAGTCACCAGCTTGGATCGGCTGAAGATGCCAAAGTTTGGCACTTTGGACAGGAAGTTATAAGCCAGGTTGAGGTACTCAAGTTCTGAAAGGGTCTATTAAGAGAGAAAAGCAGCATTGACATCTTAGCTCAAAGTCCAGTCCTGAATGCAAGACAGGGTACTAGTCTCTGTTACTCTCTCCATCCCACCAAAACCACTCAAAAAGCGAGTTACTCAAACTACAGCAAGACTTCAGCGTTCATATTTGGAGTAGTTTGTCTAGGGGTGCTGAGCACAATCTAACTGGTTTACAAGATTTACTAGGAGGATTTTTCCTCTTGTTCACCAACTTCAGTGGAGCACAGGAAGGAGATCTGGACGTCCTGCCCCAGCCAAAGGGCTGAACTTGCTACCAAAAGAAGCCCCTTCCCACCTTTGGAAAGACGGTGGTAAATGACATACTGTGAGCCTTACGAACTCAATGAAAAGATGTTTCACAGTTTCTATGAAAAGCAGCACACCCAGCTCAGCAGAGCCTGGATTCCAATGCCTTCTTCCAGGGACACAAATGCTGTCGTGACAAACTTCCATCCTTCTAAAGTAACTGACAGAAGATTTTGTATGGCAAGAAAGAAATGCTTCTGGCTGCCTGGACAAACCAAACAGCAAATCTCAATAGCCCCACACCTCACCACACAGATAACAGCAAAGCTTCAGCCACACTGACTTGTGGCCAAGTGATAAACGTGGCAACACATACAGCAAAGGCTTCTATCAGAGCACATGAGGAACGCTGCCAGCTCTGCCTCAGCGGCCCTCAGCAAGGGCTGTACATACAGAGGAACAGTTTAAAGGCTGCAAGCACTTGCCTCTACATCACATGCCTGTTGGACCACGTCTCCACCTCCTGTCTTACACCTCACTTAGTAAGCAGCAGTGTCCTCTTTGTACAAGAGAACTCTGCTGCTCAGCCCAAGATACTCACCGTTAAATAGTGCTCACAATCTTGGACCTTGTTGTGACTCAAATCCAAGACTCTAAGTGCATTCAGTAATTGCTGAAGGATGAAAAGATACTAGATCAGATCTTATAAATGTCTCCAGTGCAGCATGAGAAGGCTGTCCTGCTGGGAGAGGCCAGCAAAATTAACACCACTCACTCCCTCCCACCCAGAGAAAGCAACAGTAATGAGTAGTCAATTTCTGGCCATGATGACCTGCACACTTACAGTCACGCATGCAGGAAAGATGCCCAACTCACCAGTGAGTCATCCAAGGCAGTGATGGAGTTATAGCTGAAGTTGACCATCTGCAACTCCAACCAGGGGAGAGCACAGCTCAGATCTCCACCACATGCTGAAATGATTTCCTAGGAAGAAGAGAGGAGCAATTCCTTGGTTAGCGCTAGCTGTTACTGTAACAGCAGATGAACATACAAGAACAGCAAGTCTAGAACAAGGATGACAAATTGTGCCTTACAGATTGTGCCTGCCCAGAATGGATTAGTGACTTATAAGTCATTGCCAAGTATTTGGTGGTAATTGCATAGTTAGATATTCAGAAAGAAGGGGAGATGCCTTTGCTTTTTACACACAGGGAACAATAGTTAACCTGTTACAATTCAGAGACTCTGAAAACTTAACCACAGACTCATCCTAACAAAAACACTTTTTCAAACCTCCACCAAGGACGGACCCAGCAATAAGACACACATGCTCTGGTCGAACAACTCATGCTCTGACAGGCAAAAGAGTCCCTCAAAGTGCTCTCTGCCAACAACCACTGCTCCCCAGCAGGCAGCTGCTTCCAAGCCACGCAGAACCTCACAGCCCCACTGTTAATATGACCCACACTACTCAGTTCTCCATGGTTGGAGCTTGCCTTCATGTCTCAGAAATCTGCAGCACAAGAGTGCAGATAAAGGCACAGCGCTTCCTTCTGACAATCAGCTCTAACTTAAAGATTGCTGAGGTACAACCAAATAATCCCTGACCAGCTACAGAACTTTGAATGGAGAATTGGGCAGAGACAGACTTAGCCAGTACAAATATTGGCTGGAACCAAAATTCTCAAGCAACTATAAAGGAGACTGCAGAGCACAGACGTAATCAACCAAGGAATACTTCATCATTATTTGTGGGGTAAGACATCAGAATGGGTAAGGGAGAAAAAGCTGTATATGAGATGGATTGATATGGATTGATAAGATTACCCCCATATTTCCCTATTTGATCTCCTGCGTAGCTCCCCGTGAGCTGCACAGAGACACTCACCTCCAGTGTACTGATACATTTGGAGCAGGTTAAAGATTCCAGCTGAGAATAGAGAAATCGCAGACCCCGGAGGCAATGTGGAGGGACAGATCTCAACTGCAGCAGTGATGAGAAAGTAAGGACAACATACATCAAAATATTACAGTGCAAGAGCAGCTGCTGTTCCAGGCCTATCTGCACAAGGAGTCTCCCATTTTCCTGCTGGAGCCTCCCTTCCCAGTACTCTAATTCTCTAACCATTGTTCACACCCAGGCTGCACCCTAAGCAAGCGTTGCTGTTCAGATGTAGCCTTGTAGGCAGGCCACAAAAGCCAACCCAGTTTTTAGGAGTAGAGGCATTCTCCAACCACAAAACTGAGTAAAGAGCAGCCACATCGCAGAACTGAAAGCCAGTTCTGCCTCCTGTACTTACTTCCAAATGCCGGAGGGACTTGAAAGGGAATATCTTCACAGTAGATTGTAAAGCACAGTTTGGAACATGAATGAGCTAGAAAAAAATCAGGAAAGAAGCCTCACATAAACCTCAGTTTATTAAGTAATACTCGTGAAGCAATACTATTGATGTACCATGAATGGGCGTCTTCTCCAGCTCAGATGTTAAATAACATGCTCTGTTATTTAGCATTATTTAGTGCCCTTCGTGGTGGTATCTACACTATCTCATGGTTCCACAGATCAATAAAGACCCAACAGAAATGTGGGCGGCACAAAGCTGCCTGACCATATAGCTCTGTTTCTCCCTTGCTCACATGGCTTCACCTCTTTCAGAGGTGCAGGAAGGTCTGACAGATAGGATCCTCATCAAACAGCATTAACTGAATAAAAACAAATCTAGCTGCTGGAGCTATGGTTATCAATCAGCTGAGTGGAACTAGAGCACTGGTGGGAGGTGTGCACCCACATTTCACAAGACCAGGCCAATTAAGGCAAATCACAAGCAGGTATGTGGAAAATAATGTTCTTCAAAACATTGTTAACATCAGTTTGAGGTGACTGCAAACATCTCCTTTGCATTCTGTAGTGCAGCCATAGGCTCTTTTGTGACAAGACAGTTAAGACCATGCTCATATACCACAGAGGAGCTTATTAAACTCAGCTCCTTTCCTTTTCGTTCAGTGGACAGCACAATCTTTCAGACAAAGGAAGCAATGAGGCAGTTAATGCTCCCACTGCAGACACCAGGGTACAAATGGAGAGACCATCTCTGCCAGCTACATGCACGCAGAAGTGACTCATCAGGTGCAGAAGAACAGACTCTCAGGGCCTCCTCAGCACTATGGCTTTCACAGCTACAGCCACGGCAGGAATGAATCACCACCCGCTTCTGCCAGCACTCATGCAGCATGCTGAGCAGGATCGTTTGCAGGGGACGCTCATTCTGGGAAGCAGCCACAGTCAATTTCAACAAAGTTCACGTCAGATACCATCTCTGTTTTGTATCCAGAGAACTTAACCATATCCTTCTCTGTCTTTCCACAGACTTAGGAATCTGAACGAGCTGTGAGCAGTGCTACAGTGTGCAGCTTGCCCTCTGACCGGGCCTGTTATTTGGTTAATACAAGTACTGACCACAACACCCTCCTGACTGAGCGTCCTTTCCTTCCTCACCATGTTGGCGGAGCTGTATTTCTGTACGGGCTCTGGGTCCCCACTCTGATCTCCAGCTCAGCACTGTCGCTGTAAAACTCCCAGCAATCTTCAAACCGTTGTCTCCCATCTCCCTCACGGGGAAACACACAGACCCACAGGCTCAGCCACAGCACCTCTTAGCGCAGCCGTGGAATCTAGGAGCAGCCTATACATGCAATCCCCTTCTCCTTCCGAGCCCATTTCACCCCTACTGCCGCTCCCAGCCCGGGCAGTACGGACCTTGAGAGAGTGTGTTTTCTGCAGCACGTCGAAAAGGAACTGCGCCTGGAGGATGGCGGCGGTCTCGGCCGGGTGGGAGGGCAGCGCCACGAAGCCGCGGTGCTGGTTGCGGGAGCCCAAGTGCTGCTCGAAGACCCGCGTCAGGTGCTGCAGCGTGGGGGTGAGCAGCGTCAGCGTGCTGGAGCCGTCCAGGACCAGGTCTCCTACGGGGAACGGAGAGCAGGGCGGGCCCGTGAGCGCCGTCGCCGGCCGGGCCTCCCCACTCTCCGAGCGGCCGCCGCTCACCTGTGTCCTGCAGCAGCCGCGCCAGGCCGCTCACCAGCGGCTCCGCTGCCGCCATCCGCGCAGGGGAGGCCAGCGCGGGAGGCCGAGCGGAGGGGAGGGCAGCCCTGCCCGGCTCTGCCCGGCTCTGCCCGGCTCTGCCCGGCTCGCCCCGCGCTCGCCGTCGCTCCACGGCCCGGCGCACTTCCGCGTTACCACAGAGACGCGCCGCGCCACCGCGGCTAGAGCGCCGCCACTTACATCCGGTTGCCATGGAGCCCGCCCCAGCGTCCCCCTCCCGCCCGGCGGGGCCCGCGCCCCCCGCCCCGCCGCCGTCCCCGCCGCCCGGGGGGGCCCGGCCGCACCGCCGCTGGGAGGGGGGGGCCGCGACGCCTCCCCGCGGCCCTACCTGCAAGCGGGGGCGGCACAAAGGGGCGGCGGGCCGCGGCGCGCCGTGCGCAGGGCCCGCGGGAGGCCGGGGCCGCAGCGCCGCCCGCCCGCCACCGGCACGGCACGGAGCGGTGCGGCGCGGCACGGGTCGGGCGGAGCGCGGCGGCGAGCGGCTCTCCTAACCCGGCGGTGCGAGGTAGGGGCCGGGCTGGGGCCGGGTCGGGCCGGGGGGGCCGCGGACACGCGTGGGGGCGCCGGTGCCTCGCGGAGGGCGTGAGCAGGGGCACGGTGCGCCGTGCGGGGCGGCACCTGCCGCCCCCGTCCCGTCCTGCCGGCTGTCCGTGTGTCCATCGGAGCTGTTCAGGCGCAGGGTTGGCTGCTTATCCGGTGCGGCTGCATCCTTTCGGAGGGGCTCTGCCTGTGTCCGTGTCCGTGTCCGTGACAGTGTCCGTGTCCGTGTCCGTGTCCATGACAGTGTCCGTGTCCGTGTCCGTGTCCGTGCCAGCCCCGTCCTGCCCGCTGCCTCTGTGTGCAGAGAGCTAGGGGAACGTGCTGTACCCCACGCATTATAGTCCTGTGTCCGTTTGTCTGTTTGGCAGAATATGGAAGACACTGAAATACTTGAACCTTATAAAATACTTTATTTTAGTTACAGTGTATCCGTATAGAAGAGAAAGCCTCTGATTAAACCACTGATGCTTAAAAACTTCCTGTGCTCACTGCTTTAAGTGCTGCAGCTTTTCCTTGTGCTGTGCCTGGCCCCGTCCCTACCCCGGGGTGCGGGAGAGCTGGCCTCAGTGGTTGCATCGGGTTCGGCTCTCGGGCTGTGGCTGCACCTCCTGCTCAGCCCTGGCAGATCTCAGCCTGCACGGGGAAACCTTTCCAGCCCCCCCATCCTGCCCCTTCTTAGCATCTCCTGCCTCCCACATCACAGTGCTTGATGTGCCTATGGGGCTTTATTCCTCTCCCCACAGCAACCCCTTTGTCTAGACACCCCATGGCTCCCAGCCAGATTGCCAGCGGATTAGGGAAGAGCTGAGGGGACCTGGGGGCTGCTTCTCCTCTTGCCTGTGTGGCTGGGATCCGGCAGCAGCCAAACCTTCTGTTGAGGGGCAGCTAAGGCAGCAAGCCCCCGTGTGCTTCCTTGGCAAAGCAGGGCAGTCCCTGTCCTGGCACAGTGAATTGGCCTTTGGGGACCAGGGTGCCACTCTGGAAGCTGTCAGCAGCATGTGGCCCCTGGGAGCTGTCAGTGCTATGGAGATGTTCCTGCCTGTTTGCCTCCAGCTGAGACCATCGGTGCACAGCACAGCAGTGTGGGTGAGCCCATGCTGTTGCTGATGCTGACGGCTGCGTTCTGAGGGGAGAGTCCCTACAGGAACTGCCGTAAGCAGGGTTAATGCCCTGGTGGAGAGAGAAGGTGTGAGAGCGTGCCAGCCAGCAGCCGGTGCATTTTGCTTTCTTCCCTTCCAATCTGGCCTGCTGGCATCACGCTTCTATTACTGAAAATCACTTGTAGCAGGAATGCTGAATCACATCCTCCCCACAAGCAGGAGACGGAGCAGGATGGAGATATCCTCCTTTCAGCTTTTTTTGCTGTTAGTGCCCCTTTGTCTTGTATTCCTCTGACAGCAGCCTGGGCTAGGCTCACAGCAGGTTGGGCATCAGCATGATGCTCATTAGCAGAACCCTCCTTGATATTCATTTCAAACTTCTCTTTTACATTAATTCATTTCAGAGTCTCTTTGTGTGGGATCATATGAAAAAAAAAAACAAAAACCAAACACCAAAAACCTTTATTCATGTTTCACACCCTTGAGATGTTTCCAGAGTGCTGGCACGTCCCCTCCCCATCTTAGTCATCCCATACTGAGCCAGACAAATTTAGCTCCTAACCTTTCCTATAACCAATCCCTCTGGCCTGCTGGCAGATTTTGTTGCTCTTCTCTGAACTCCTTTGGTTGCAGGTGATAGAAATGCCAGGCAGGATACGAGGAGCATCACTGACAGGTTGCAGCAGGCTGCAGAACAAGGGGCAGGTGGCCTCTAGCGGCCAGCAATGAATGCATCCAATGGGAGTGATGTGCCTGGAGCGCTTCCAGCCTACAGTTTCAAATTTGCTGCTGTTAAATTTCATGCAATGATACCCTCTTCTTGAGTTAAAAGCAAAAGGAAATAAAAGACACATATTACTCTTTTCTCCATCAGGTCTCCTGTAGAAAAAGAATAGTCTCCTCTTACAGCTCATTTCCAGACCTTTCTCCTTTTTATGCTTTCTCTCCTTTTTCTTCCATCTCTCTTGGAAAACAGGGTGCAAACCTGAATATTACAGCTTAAGGAGGAGCCCTTGCAGACCTACAGAATGAATTGGGTATTTTCATCCTGTTCCTTTTGGTTTGGATTCTGCATTTGCTTTTCAGACTTCTGTCTTGGCACAATATTTCTCTCTAGCTGTTCAGGTCTCATAGTGGGGTTTGGTCACTGTGGAGTCCCATGAGGTGTGCTTGAGGAATTTCTTCCATTAAGTTTTGCCTTGCTCATGATAATGAGGAGGGTGAAATTCAAAGGGAGGAAACGAACAGTGAAAATTTCAGGTTGTTTAGCTAGCAGGCTTTACCTTACATTTTGATTCTCTTTCTGTCCACGTAGCTGTGTTAGTTCCTCTGGTTTTCCTCACAGAATCATTAAGGTTGGAAAAGACCTCTTAAAATCATCTAGTTCAGTTGTCAGCCCATCACCACCATGCCTTCTAAACCATGTCCGTAGTGCTCTATCCTTTCACATTTACTCCCTGTCATTAACATATACTCATCATTTGAGTCTTTCCACTACTGCTCTGCCCAGCACTGAGCAAATACTGCATGTGGAGTGCTCCTGGAACTGCAGAAGGAACAGCATCCATGCCTGCAAGGCCTGGGCGTGCAATCTCACTATTGTGCTCTGCTGCTTGCAGCCATATCACATTGCAGCATGCCTAGCTGTAGTGCTTCTGGCACTGTTCAATAGTTTGTTCATTTGCATGACTGTATCCTGAGATAGCTGCTAAATCTATACAAGTGGTCTGAGAGCTAAATCTGTACAAATGGCTTTAGGGAAGGTGGCTTGGACCAGGAGAGCGTACTTCAGTGGTGATGACATTCGCTCTTTAAAGTTGCCTTACAGGCAGCTCCACAATTCTTGGCTTCATAAACATGTGCCTTCAGGTAGGGAGAATAAGCAGAGACTCTGTAGTAGCACCTTCTGGAGATCTTTGAAGGTAGAAGGAGGAATGATAGAGTGGTCTTACTGGCGTCACCTTTAGACTGTCTGTTTTAGTGTCGCATCTCAAACAGTGGCACATACCAGATACTTCAGATGGGATGGTAAGAAGTGCCTGAGCAGATCTCTGGGATGTAGCCTGTAGTCCTATCATACCTCTTCCAAAGCTTTCACAGCTAGTTGACAGCTTATTATGGAAGATGAGTTTTGTCATAAATACGACAGCTTGTTACCCAGAGAGATAGCCAAGCTATCCTCTAATTTTGCACTTTTCCCCCCCCAATGACATCACTGAAAAAAATGTTCCCTTTTGCCAATTTTGTAGTCATTTGTATTCTTCCCCTGTAGTGTTAACAAATGTCTCTTCTCTTGCTCAGCGAGATGAGAACACTTTGCTTATCCATCCCTCTGTGCAAAGTGCTGTGGATGTGCTTACAGCGTCTGTCCTTCTCCTTGTGAGTTCAGATGGGTTTTCAGAGGCCTGAATCTTCCCATTGCTGCTCTGTGAGCCGTCTCCAGCTCCTCCTGGTGGGACAGGAGGTGATGCAGCTATGCCAGGCTCAGCCTGCCCTGTTACTGCAGCTTCCCCAAGGTGGCCTCTCTGGGTTAGGACCACAGGGACTGAGGGCAGTGGGTGGCAGTGTCCCACGACATTCCCTTGTCCTGCCCTCTCTCCACAGGTTATGCCACTCTCCAGGTTTGCTGGGTGCCTGCCGGTGAAAGAGAAGGGTTGATATTTTGCCCAGGCCCTTAGGTCCTGAACCAAAATGGCAGCTGGCGAGTCCCCTCCCGTAAGAGATGCCTTCATCGACCTGCAGCAGGTGAGGTGGAAATCTGGAAGCAGCAGTGCCTTGTCTGTCCCAGGAACTGCCCTCAAGCCCAGATGCACTCCCCGTGCACACAGCAAGCTGAGGTCCAGAGAAGGCTGAAGGCTGCTTCTGTGTGCCATCAAGTAGTGTTGGCAAACAGCAGGAGCCTCTGAGTGCACACAGTGTCCGTAGTCCTGGTGGGATGGGAGCTGTAGGAGCTTTATGGTGACAGGGGGCAGCTGGGGATGTTGTGGGGATGCACAGCTTGGCTAAAGCCACTTTGCTTCCTCTTTGTGCCCAGCACAGACAGATTTGTCACAGTTGGGCCTCCTTCTGTTTCCATGGAAACTCAGGAGTCCACAACAGCTCAGCACTGGCATTTTGGCTGTGTTGACAGACAATTGTATCTGCTGCAGCTGCTCAGGAGACAGAAAGGGCAGGTGTCACCTGGTGATTACCCAGCAGCAAAAGGCAGAGGAGCACCCGTAGCCTGAAATGCGAGGAAACTGGGCAGAAAGGCCTGAGGAAGGCATGCCAAGGGAAACGGGAGCCCTAGGATTGCAGAGGAGCTGCGCCCAGAAATGAGTAACTGTTCCTCTGCCCCGTGGGATGCTGCCTGCTGCTCCTCAGAAACCCAGCTCCATCTGCAGGACACGAGAACCTGGAGCATGGTAGGAGTCTGCAGTGTTTGACTGTTATCTGGCGATTTCTGTGCAGGGCAGAGATCGTGCAGAAAAAGCCTCTCCTGGTGCCGAGGACGATGAGGACTTGGATAAGACTTTATCAATCGAGAGATTTGGGGACCTGATAAGCAAGTCAGCATCAAGCGATCTGGAGAAGCAGAAACGCAGCTACAGTGAGAGAGATTTTGAATGTATGTAGGTTTGAACCATTGTACCCACATCCATTCCTAACCCTCGCTCAGCCCCATGTATTCTGCAGCCTGTTGCCAGGGACCCACAAACCTTTCCTCCCTTTAAAGTGTTCCCAAATTGCTGCTTATACCCAGTACTCGCTGCCTTCTGTCAGTCTGCATCAGTGTCCCAATTTCCTGGAGGTGTAGCTCCTGCTCAGCCCAGGTGACACGTAGTTCAGGTCACCTCCTCAGTTGGTGTCAGGGACCTCTGCAGCCACCTCTACAAGCTAAAGTTTCCACTCTGAAATTATTTTTCTTCCATATGGCTGCAAAGAAACATCCGAATATGGCTAGAAGCCAGGCTGTCCTCCCCAGTCTGAAAGCAGATGGTTCCAGTCAGACATGCCCATGTATTTCTAAATAGCAACCATGAAACCATCTTATCTGCTCAAAAAAGGATTGAAAATTAGAAATGGAACATGAGTTTAAAATGCTGCAGCTATTTCACCTGGAATCCTCTGATCAGCATGCTCATTCCTCTAATTGCCCTTCCATGAAGAAGGCAACAGTCAGAGTCACTTTGGCTGTAGAATAGGAGTGTGCCCACAAGAGCAGTCATAGGTTATTGCTTTCTTTAGATGGTCACAGTAGGTTGTAATAGTGGCAGTAACGGGCAGGAAGAGCCCCCCAGCCAGCAGGCCAGCGTGTGGCAGACAAGTAGCAATGGTTGAGTGAGTTTCCCAGTCTCCGGCTCTCTGCAATCAGATACTGCTTATTTCGCAGGTTAGCTTTGGTAGGATACAACCTTAGGAACATTTTGTTCTAAGTACATCACCAGGCTGTTTTCTGCTTGGCCACTCATTTCCAATTGGTGTTGCAAAAGTTTGCTAGCAACATTCAATTACTATAATGCACTCCAGCTGCTACTTTCTGCTTGTGCCATCTCTCTACAGAGGTTACATTCAAACAGCACTTTCCACCTGAGCACCCACTCACACTTGTGGCTGCAGGGTACTCACTGCTTTGCTGCAGGTTGGATACCTGTACTGTGCTGGCAGTACTTACCTGCTCAGAGCTCTGTGTGTGTGCAGGTGTGTGAGTTGGTGCAGAGCATGCAGATGATCTGCTTCAGCATGCATGGCAGAAGCTTCTTGGAAAATTTGCCTAGAGATTTGTGCTGTTTTGTTAGTTTTGGGTGTTTTCCTTTTTTTTTTTTTTTATTAAATAGAAGAGTTTTTCTCTCTTTCTTAGAATCTGGCTTGTTTTCTTTTGAGTTCCTGATGTAACCCTGATATCTAGGGCTAGGAATGTGTCAAACTGTGGCTCTCAGAAATTTTATACAGCACATATTTCTGAAGCTGAAAGATCTGGTAGGTTATTAGACTTTGAAAGATATTCCATAGGCTTATGGAGGTGAATGCTCTATGGAATTGAAAAAGGTTTCCTGCCCCATTCACAACCAGGAACTTTCTTTTTTTGGGTTCTTTCTTTTATTCACTGGAAAGTGTAATCGGACACTGGTTTGGCCTAGCTTTCCATTCAGACAGGCAATGTGAGGAAGAGCATGGGGAAGGAGAGTAGAGGCTGGGTGCACAAAAGCTGCTGAAGGATGGGGAGAAAGAAGAGGGAAGAACAGTACATTCTGTGCTTGGAAAAGGTGTATTTTTTCCCTCCTCCAGCCTTCCTTTGTGGGAGAAGTGATTAGCTGGCAGAAATGCTGAGGTAAAGGATGGTGCTGCTCTGTTCTGTGCCAGACCAGCCACTTGCCATCACTACACTTCCCTGCAGCCTGAGGCTTGGGCTCTCTGCTGGTCCAAAATGCAGACATTTCTGTCTTGGCCTGATGCAAACAGCCCAGAAGTGAGAGCTGGGCTGTGACTTCAGCACCAGCTTTGTGCATTCTTGGGGCCTTACTTGCTTTTCGTTGCATGAGGCATTGATGCCTGACCTATCCATGGCAGGAGGTTGGGGGATGCAGAACAGGAGTGCATTTCTGTCCACATCTATCTAATCAAAGGAAAGAACCAAATAGCCCTTTGGATGAAAAAGTGTTCATTAAGAACCTCATCTTCCCATTTTGCGTATGTCTGACCATTCACAACCTCTTCTAATTCTTGCCACGAGGCTGAACCAAGGGCTGTGTGAAATATTCCTGCTGTTCCCAAGGGGGGAAACAAGGGAGAAAAGACTTGAGAAACCAAAGGAAAGGAAACATGACACCAGAACAATGAACCTGCCTGGCTCTCCCATGGAGAAGGTTACAGCTTCCATTGAAAATGTCCTTTGAAGGTAGTTTTCACTATAAACAGATTTTGCTGCCATGTCACAGGAAAGCTGGGAAGGAACCAAATCAAAACAGGCTGGAAACAATTCCTCAGGAAGAGCTGCTGAGCAAAGCCGCCCTGCAAAGCCGCTGGTGCCCCCGGCATTTCAGCTGCTCCGGGTGCAGCCCCAGGGGCCATGCATCCTGCAGGCTGCATCTGGGAGGCTTTGTGCCTGCAGATAGACCAGGCAGAAGTGGCTTTCCCATCTCTTGCTGGGAGATGCTGAGATTACCCTCCTCCCTGCATGGTGCACTGACGTTGGTTTTGAGTGATGGCTCAGAAATTAATTCATTAATTTCATCTTGTTGTGTAATTCCCACGACACCCAGGTCAACTCCATATGAATTTCTCTTTGTGGATTAGTTTGAAGAAAAGTCCTTCTGCCCTGCTTTTTACCCTGGTTTTTAAAGAGAACCTCCTAACTGAGCCTGCATTTCAGAGGCTGGTACCTCACAGAACCTGAGATGTGAATTTATGTTGCATCTGCACTAGAAGTCTCAGTCTGTGATTCCTGTCCAAACCCGTGAGTGAAATAAGGCACGTCTATTTAAGTGCAACTAAAGAACACTATGCAGGAAAGAAATGTTTGTAAATGACCCAAACTCTGCTTGTTTGAGAATGTGAGAAGTATTTCCCTGTGTTTAGGAAGGGGGTGTTGTCTCTGGCAGATTCCTGCAGCTCTGCACAGCTGTGTGAATGGCTTTCAGCAGCCTCAGGAGAGCCCTGTCTTGCCCAGGGTGGCAAAACAATGTTGGGGTGGTTTGGCACTGCACGAGGGCTGCCTCCTCAGCTACTTCAGGCTGACCACAGCCTGCCACATCATTGGAAGAGCTTTGCTGTGTCCCTGTGGGCTGGTGGCTCTCCTTGCCCTTCCTGGCCCTTGATCTCCAGACCATGCTGTTTCCTGGAGGGGCGCCTGGCAGGTTCCTCCCAGCCTCTTCCTGCCCCTCTGACTCTCTTTTTCTCTCTCAGTCCACCGCCAAACCTCGCACCACATCCATCATCCCCTTTCCACTCACCTCCCTTCTGCCCTCAAGTTCCAAAAGAGGCCCCCCCGTGCCAGCAGGAAGAAAAAAAGAAGAAGGAAAAAGAAGAAAACCTCAGTACCCCCCTCAGAGGTCACCCCTACCATCCAAGAAGTGGACGAGGAAGGAGGAGAAGAGGAGGAAGAAGAGGAAGAAGAGGAGGAGGAGGAAGAAGGAGAGTCTGAGGCAGAGGAAGCCCAGGAGAAGGAGATCTTTGCAGAGTCTGAGGGCGAAGCTCGTGGGAAGGACACATCCCCTAAGCTGGAGCCCCCAAGCAAACCAAAGGCAAGGCTGGGGCATCCTGAGCTGCCCGAGCGAGTCTTGGAAGCTGGGGCAGGGGGGAAGGTTGATGGGACAGTAACAGAGAAGTCATTGTCTTGAATGGATGCTGAGGAAAGCGTATGCATGACCATGTTTGGGGTGTAAGACATGAGGGAAGATCAATGTGACCATTCTTAGAAGATATCAGATATGAGGGGGAGAAGTTTGTATAGCCCTTTCTAGGCTGTGGGGATGATGGGAGGGGACACGTGCCTGACCTGGCTCTTGCTTTCAAGGCTGTTGTCTCTGCAGTTCACCATTGGCAGTGATGAGGATGAGTCTGGCAGTACTCTGGCCCCAGCGCAGTTCCATGTGGAAGAGGAGGTGTCCTCCACACCATGCCTCACTGACCTGCTGCCGGACAAGGGCCCTGCCTCCATCCGCAGGTAGGAGGGCAGGTGCTGAGCTACTGCCACTCTCCCTGGCTTGGGTTGCTGCACTTGGGGTGGCACAGGGAGGTGTGTGGCTCTGCCCAGTCTCAACTCTCCTGCTGAAGCAGAGAGACTGTGGAGCCCAGCAACTGCAGCAACACTGCTGCTCTCCAGCAGGATGGTCACGTTCTGGGACTCCTGGGACCTCTTTGTGTTTGTGGGTTCCTCAGGATGTGGTTTTGGGGGCACTGGGTGCACATGTGCGGTAGTTTTTTCTCTCTCAGTTAGCTTGTGTTGTGGTGCTGACCAAAAGGCTGGGAAGCACAGTTGAAGGACATGAGGTTCTCATCTTAGAGATGTGTCCCTAACACATGCCTCAGGCTGATCCTGCTCTGCACTGTGGGGCAAGGAGGAGCAGAAGGGTTGGTAGGACAACCTCTAGGCATTGGGACAGGTGACTTCTGACTCTGCTCCTTCTCAGGGAATTGTTTTTCTGGTCTGGGTGAAGTAATCTCATCCCCTGAGAAGAACCAGTGTCTGCCCCCACTTATCTCATTTTCTACCATCAGTCTCTTTGATCCCTGCAGCCTCCCTGGACCTCGGGAACGTGTTTCTCAGGGCTGGGAGAAGCGCAAGCCCTGGGGCCAGGTGGCAAGTGGACAACGAGTTACCTATGATTTAAAGGAGAGGATGTGCATCGGCAGTATGACCACGCTGGAGAGTGCAGCATATCAGCGTGTCCCCACGGATGAGGCTGAGGCCCAGATGCTGGCATCTGCTGATTTGGATGGCATGAAAAGTGAGATTTTACCACACTATAGCACGTGTGTCCTTTGCATCTACCTGCTTAGCTCTCATTCCTGACAGCTCCACACACAGTCTTCAGCCTCCCCCAACAGATCTGGTCCCCATCTCCCTGTCCCTCAGTCCCTGCTTTTCTAGCTTTGACTCCTCTCTGTCAGCTTGTTTGTATCCAGAGCTCTGGTTCCACATCTCCACATGAGCCCAACTACCTCTCCTCCCACCCACCCCGCAGGTGCCAGACCTCCTCCACCCATCCCTCTGCCCTCTCCATTTCAGGGCTCCTTGCCTTTCCCTGAGACCCAGCTCTCTCCTTTCCTGACACACTTTCCCAGTTAGCAGCGCTCTGTGTGACACACCAGCTCTGGGATCGCAGCCACCTGATGTGAGAAGCCTTCCCCCTCCTGCATGCTGCTCATAGAGAGGCAGCTGCCCCTTCCAAAACACATCTGAGGGGACTGCCCCTGTGTGCGCCGTGAGGGCAGACAGGAGAGACGTCATGGAAATGCACGCTCCGGGCCTGAGGACATGGAGAATTCAATAGGTTGCTTTGCATGCTGGAGAGGGAGGGAGACACCAGAGGGGAGTGAGGGAGGGAAGCGGTGCTGCACGCGGAGCCTGCCTGTCCCTGGGCATCCAGCAAAGAGCTCGCGGCACAGTGAGGATCCTGCTCCGAGGAGCCAGAGGAATATTTTTCCCCAGGAACATTCTCGGGTGCAGCTATCCTTTCTAGGACTTCACCAGGCCCCAGCAGCTCCATGCCCTGTGCCCAGGAGAGAGAGGCACTGGGGCCAACTCCAGGGCTGCGCTGAAGCCCCTCCAGGGCAGCTCGCTTTCTGCACTTCAGCCTGGCAGCCCCAGCCCCTCCTGGGAAGGTGAGTGGCTCATGGCACCTGACCCCTGACCTTCGCAAGGACAACATGAGCACCCTGCGGGAGGGCGAGGAGGCGGCAAGGGAATTGAAAGAGGGCGGCAGCCCTGAAGCAGCAGTAAGTGCCCGCGTTCGCAACTCGCTCGGCTATGAAGACTTTGATGAATTTGCCTTCAATTTTGAAGACTATGATTTGTGGGAGGCCATCAGAAACCACCTGGGTTACCCAGGTGGGGAGCCCACCTGTAAGTACCACAGCAGTGACCCCTGGGTGCAGCTGTAGAGCAGAGCCCCCAGCTGCAGTGCTTAGCCCTGACTCTCTGTTTGTTGTCTGCTGCTCTCCCTGTGTCAGGTTGGTCTGGTTTAGAGAAGGCACTGTCTGCCCCATTGCATGCAACTCGGTGGCTGGGGGTGTTGGAGGAGCTGTCTGGTGTCTGTGTGTTAGTACGAGGTCTTTGTACAGATCCATTTTGTAGCATTGAGGTGCTTCCCTGCGTGCTTCTTTCTCGAGCAGCCCTGGAGGCAGCTGCCCCTTGCTGTTTGTGCCTATCGGGATGTAACCCACCCAGAGGAAAAGCCTCTGCTCCCAGTCACATTTAAGAATAGAGCCATGTCTCCTTCCATCTGTGGCACAAGGTGACAGTGTGCTGTTGCTCTCTGTTTGCTGGAATCTGAGCAGGGCTGCAGATCTGACAGCAGTGCTGGATATCAGGTTCTCAGCTCTGCGCTGTAGACTAATGCCCAGAGAAGAAAATAAACTAGTCCCTGTGTCTGCAGGCTTAAGTGTTATTTGTGAAAGTAGCTGACAGCAAGCTGACCAGAAGGCTTGGAAAGGGGAAAAGGCAGGAAGAGTGGGAATCGCAGGGAAGGAGAAAGTAGGAATCCCAAGAGGAAAGAGCATCTTTCTGTTCTCTGCAGGTTTCCTTACCCGTGCAGCCCTTGTGGAGAAGTGGCTCTCTGAGCCATCCCAGAGGCTGCACAGAAAGCAGCACCTCATTGCCACCTCATATAGGCAGCCTCTTCTCAGCAGCTGAAGTGAGCTGTGTGTGTCACCTTGGGAGGGACGCTGCTCATAGTCATTGCTCCATGGCAGCTGCCCAAATATCCTCATCTGCATCATATTCTGCATGTTTCAAGGCATCGTACAAGTGCACAAAGGCAGGTGGCATGGCCCCAGAGCTATCCCAGGCTTTGTAAGCAGGTGTGGGGAGGCAAGAGTGCAACATGGGCTCAAGAGGCTTGGTGCAGTTTCTGGCTCTACCACAGCCTTTTGGTACGATAAAAGGTAAAACATTTAAATGCGGATTCCTCTCAGTCCCAGCATCATTATTTCTGTCTCAACTAGTCCATCTTCGTAAGCCTTGCAGCCCCTGGGGAAAGAATGTCTGCCTATGTGCTTGTATGGGGACCAGCAAGTGAGGATTTGCTTCTGGCTGATTCTGATACTTGTTACTGTAAATTCTTAGACAACTTAATAGGTGCCAAGTTTAAACCATAAGCCTGGAGCTAATTGGCCCCGTCAGCTGTCCCAGGCTGAACAACTTGTGCTTTGAGAGCAATAGCTGCAGGTTCACCTAGGGAAGGATGGCTGCTCTTGGGAAGGCGGAAGGTAGTGTCTTAAAAGTGTGATATGCATCACTTATGCAGTGGGGACGTTTGGCGCTAGCAGTTAACTGATTCATTGATCGCTACAGCTAATACTGCAGGTGCTTGAAATAGGATGTACTGTACAGTCAACGCTTAATTATTTCTGCACAATAAATCCACACTGTGGATTAATCCTGCAGAGATGCAGCAGACAGATGGCAGAGACAACAGCATCAGGTCTGTGCAGAGCCAGCTCATGTCCAGCCAGGGCCACTTACTCAGCTACTTGCTGCATGTTCCTCTTTTGGGATCAACTCAGATCCAGGAGGAACGTAATAGCTTTTCTGCAGAGCAGAGTCCTTGGTGGGCCTGAGTGCGTCTCTTTGCATTCCTTTTAATGACTGGAGTATAGGGAACACTGTGCAGGGACAGCTGGGTGTTAGCAGGGATAAGAAATGTAAAGAGCTTGCATTTCTTCAGCTCCTCTCATATCTTCCCTCCTCTTCACAGATGTACTGTAGAAACTACAGGCATGACCCAATCTCACCCTCAAATTCTTACCTGTGCGTTTGCATGGGTATAGCCCTTTGTCTTCACCTTCCCAATTACACATGCTCTGCTGCATCTGCATATACTTAGGTGCATAGTTATAGTACATTATCCCAAATGCATGCTTATATATGCACTCATATTTACTCACACACATACTGTCCCATTCCAAGTAGAGTTGGGAAAGCAATTGCTGGGCAATACCTTTTCCCAGAAGCCAGCATAGGGCCCTGACTTTTTAATATGCTGCCTAGCATTTTGTTTAGTCTAACTTTAAGTATTCCAAGAGATGGGGTTTCAGTCTTCTTCCTAGAGCTAGTGCTATAGCTTTACATTGGGGCAAATAGGAAGAGTGCACCATTCCTGTGATGCTGGGCTAAGAAATGGCTTTCTAGTACCAATGCAACTATTCTGATGCCTCTATCTGAACTTTCTGCTTGAGGATAAAGGGTAATAAATGAAGGAAAGCAGGAGCTAATGCATGAATTGAAGTCATTTTCCTGCTAAGTTGGACTGACTAGGACAGGTACTCTGGAGAAAGACCTTAATCAATGCAAAGTAACATTTGTCATCTTCAGACTTAAGGTGAAGGAAAAATGAGTTGTGGAAGCCAACAGTGGCAAGAATATCTTTTGGAAAAGACTGTAGGAGGTGCTCTGTAGGAGAGTAACGTACCGATTTGTTGTCTTGGAGCCACCATAGGAATCATGCTGAATCCTTAGATGCTGTCACCGCCTCGTACTGTGCTGGGGAGCTTGGCTTCAGGCAAGGAGGGAAGATCTGCTCTCTGGGCACATTACCCTTGGATCTTGGTCTGAGATCCTCTGCTGAGTAAGGACACAAGGCTTCAGGTGCTTGCTTGAGCTTGATGTTCATTTGCGGGAAGCAGCTATGGGGCATGCAAGAAATGAGAAATCCATGCAAAAGTCTGAGGAAGCTGGAAACATACGTATCAATGGGCAGTTATTGGCTCCTATTGACACTACAGCACAGTAAGTAGAGCAGGGAGGAGTCCAGCTGACAGCAGGACTTGCATCAGCATGGCAGCCAGTGGGTGAAAATCCCCTGAGGCTCAGTATTGATTCGTGTTATATTTAATTCAACAACCCAGATTTCCAAGAAGCAAGGCCTGGCCTGATGTTGGGCTGTTACTTTCCTTACCAGAGATGCACAGATATTTTCCTGCAGTGAGCATCGAGGACAGCACAAGGCCTTCAAGCCCAATGCTTTTCACTATCTTTCATGCCCAGAGAAAGCTGCAAGTCTTGAAGCCAACTGCAGAAAGATACATGGAGTCTTGAGTTTCACCCCAGAAGACTTTGGCTTTGCCTTGCAAGGAGGTCAGCGAGCCTGCACAGACCAAAGCTGAGTAAGATCACTGACTCTGTGATCTACCTGGGACAGCCCACTCATTCTGGAGCAGGGCTCTGAAATTTTCCCTGTCCCCATGGTCTGAGGAAGATGCATTTCTGTGCCGTACCAATAGGGCTTCAGGTTGCTTTTTTGTTGTGGCAGTACAGAGAGGGTTTGTGCACCACTTACTCAGGTACAGCAAATAAAATCTAAAAGCTTTTGCAGTGATGCTCCAGCTTATGCACAGCCCAGGAGGAAATCTTGATCTCTAAAGGAATTAACTCTCAGATATCAGGAACAGTTGAAAGTAGACAGGTGAGGCAGGAAGGATCTCCAGAGGCCGGTGGTGAGTTCTCCTACTGCCAGAGCTTTGCCAGTATAATCTAGAGAAAAAGGTGGGTTTGGATGTGTTCTCATACCAGACAGTGTATTTCCCCTAGACACCCTGGTGGTCTTTTCTCCCTTCCCATGTGTTCAGGCCACCGCTTTGAAGACAACCCTGGTGTGAGGAGGCATCTGATGAAGAAACCATCTAGAAGCCAGATCACCAGGACAAGCAAAAAATTAACATCAACCCCATCAGTTAAAAAAAAAAAGAAGAAGAAGAAGTTGGACAGAAAACCCCACGAGGTATCTATGTGTGGACTTGTTCAGAAGGGATAAATCAGATTGAGAAACAGACATTTATAAAGTAATCAAAGTAGTTTCAATATTATTAATACTTTACATGGCCTTGGTAAGGACATTTCAATCTCTTATCCATTGTCAACAAAAGCTGAAAACACGCTTTTCTAATAAAAGCTGAGGTTTCTCTGAAATCACGGTGTTTCAATTTTAGGAAAGACATAAAAAGTTACAGAAATTGTAGTGCTGTATGGGAAATTGGCAACTGTATAATCAATGAATATACAGATGTTATAATTATGAAATAAACGAGAGAGTTTTGGCTAAGCAGGTTATTATACCAAAAAGAGAATAGATGGAGTGCTTACCCTTGTCCTGGGCTCACTGTGAAACCCCAAAGGAGGGATCTCCAGAAAGAGATCCTTCCCCCCGGTAGCCAGCTCTTAAATGGGTCTAGGAGAGGTGGAGCCAGGCTCCTCCTCTTCCAGCAGCACAGGTGAATTGCCTTCACCTGTGCTCTCAGGACTGACTATTGTTCGCCTCAGGTGATCAGTCAGAGGTTCAGCAGTGTTTCAGCAGTTCCCATACAGTAATACAGTAATATCACCATCTTCTGGTAAGAAGGTGTGAAGGCCAAACCATGACAAAATGTTAGCGTAGGAAATTTGGGGGGAAACTTCTTACTCTAGCTGAGAAGCAGGCAGAGGACAAAGTTGTTAGTTTGGCAGAGAAGTGTACAGGTTTGATTCACTCTGTTTCCTCTGCCTGCACTGTCTCACTTGTAGCTTTCTGCTGCTCTATGCTCTGGTAAAGGCTCCTGCCATACTGCCAGACCTAGCTGTTTCTGTTCACCGAAACTCTGTTAGCTAAGGCAAGTTTGCCTGAGCATTGCTTTAGAACAAGCATCACAATGAGAACAAACCTAAGGCTTTCCACATATTGCTTATAGAACCATACCCATCAGGGGGATTCTCACATCCCCACTGCTGTTCATACAGGTGTTTGTGGAGCTGAACGAACTGGTGGTGGATAAGAACCAGGAGATGCATTGGAGGGAAACAGCCCGCTGGATCAAGTTTGAGGAGGATGTGGAGGAGGACACAGCCAGGTGGGGGAAACCTCACGTGGCTTCACTGTCCTTCCGCAGTCTGCTGGAGCTCAGGAAGACAATTGCCCACGGTGAGTCAGAAATTGCTTTGTGCTGCAGGCACAGGACTTGTCTGTTGCCCTGGCACAAGTTTTGCTGGACAGCTCCTATTGCTGTTTGGCTGCTCGCTGAAGACATGCCAACAGTGTCTGTTCAGGCTCCTTGTTGGATGTGGGAGACGGACCATCCTACAGTCTGTTTTCCAGGATATTGCAACAGCCCAAGGATGTCTGAGGTGACTCCTTGCTCTGCTTTGCTGTCCTCAGGCACATGGCACTGCCACACCCGGCTGTACCAGAAGGTTTTGGACCCATGAGGGGAAGGTACTAGAGGTACTAGTGCATCTGGAATTGGGTGTTTTCAGTGTCTTCTCACTGAAGAGAGATGCTTCTCACTGGACCCCCTCAGGGTGAGAGCCTGGAGTGCTCACATCCCACAGATGATGGGATACCAAGTGTTTCTTCAGCTCTCAGACTGCCTACACAGCATCTTATGGTTTCTCTGGGACAAAGGTTTACGTAGAGGACAGGGATACCTGGACTTGTGGCATTTCTCAGCTGAGAGTATTTAAAATAAGAAGGCCCGAGATTGCCTCCAGTGGGAGGAGGGCCTGGTGCTTGTGGGGCTGTTACAGGGCACCTCTCCTCCTGGCAGGTGCTGTTCTTCTTGACCTGGAGCAGACCACGCTGCCTGGCATTGCTCACCTCATGGTGGAGACCATGATAATCTCTGACCAGATCAGGGCAGAGGACCGAGCCAATGTTATGCGTGCCCTGCTGCTGAAGCACAGGTGAGTAGGACACAGCTGAGACCTGCGGGAAGATCAGAACTTCTCTGCAAGCCCCAGGCAACAAGGGAGACTGGCAAGGACTTGGCTATACCTCAGGTGACCAGATCACTACCTGGTGGGGCAAAGGTCTCTGATGGTGGAAGAGGGCAAGGAGACTGTCTAGAGCAGTATAATGAGGCTACTTCTCCCTCCCCTAGCCACCCAAATGATGAGAAGGAGGGCTTCTTTCCAAGGAATCACTCCAGCTCCAGCATGAACTCTATTGTGGGGAACCACCACCACAACCACACCACAGACACCTGCGTGCCCCTCATGGGAGAGGAGCGAATTGAGATGGCTGACACCAAGGCCCATGAGACTGAATGCAAAGAGGTGAGGATTACGTGGGGGGGTTACCTCTCATTTTTTCACTCCCTAGGACCACCCTTTGGCCTGGGACAGCGCACAGCAATGCTTGATGCCCACACCCAGGCATCTAGGAGGGCTCGTCCTCACAAAGGCTGTGCTTGCCTGAATCACCTGGAGCACTAGAAATCAGGTTACTGTATTACGGTTTTGGGACCTAATTTTAGCCTCATGCTTTATGTGAGTGCTGGAGTGTGTGATGGCTCAGCTGGCCCTGGCATTTGCAGGATGACCTTTTAATGTAAGGCTGCCTCACTAGTTAAGCAGGGAGCCAGGCATCTGGTGTGGTCCAAGACAAGCCCAGGTGCCAATGTGCAATGGAGAGCAAGGCTGTGTATGGAAACCAAGGCACAAGGACATGCTTCTTACTCATTTTTATTCTTCCTTGGCAGAAAAATGTGCATGTCCATAACTCTGAGGGGCACCGTAAATACCTGAAGTTGATGGAGAAGATTCCTGAAGATGCAGAGGCCACTGTAGTCCTTGTGGGTAAGAGGCTGCAAACCCCAACACCAAAAAGACCAGTTTAGATCTGAGCCCAGCTTGGGTGTTCTCTCTCCTAAGAGATATTTGGACATCTAGTGTGCATTTCCAAAGTTTAAGTTGAGAAGGAGCTTTGTACACATTCTCTTGTGATGGCAACACACATCTTGTTTGTCTGTAACGAATATGAAGTGTGACTGGATAGAATTGGTGGATTGATTTTTTTTTTTTAATTTTTTTTTTTGACAGTTAGAAGTACTAAATGTGGGTAATGGCTGGGAACTGGTGCCTAGCTTAGAGGTGAAAGTTTAACCAGTCACCAAAATATCCCATTTTGAGGTTCAGAAGTAGTTAAATGCCCAAGGCATTCATTACCAGCACTGCTGTAAGGCCTTGTGTTGCCTTCTTCCCAACCTGGGAGCACACCTTGCCACAACTGGGCTGGTTTTGGTTGTTGGTTGCATGTGTCAAAGAGCTTCAAGTTTTGGTAATTAGAACCCAGCAACTGGCAAAGCCTCTGGGATCAGTATATCGTTACCAGGATGTATTTCTCTTTACAAATGAGAGCCATCGGCAGGCAGACTGAGCATCAGTGGGTTTAGTACCTTCTGACCACCACAAGAACAGTCTTCTTCAGTGCTTTGCTGGCATTGAGTTCTGAGCAAACAACTGTGCTGTAAGCAAAGTAAATGTCACTGCCTGTCTAGCATATAGAAAACTTGGGCAAAGAGTCTTGGCAGCTCAGCCAAGCTTAACGGTGATGAAGCCAGATTAGTTTCATAAATGCAATTTGGGTATTCAGATGACTAAACACTGACCATTTCTGTAGCTTGGGATCCTCATGGCCATTCAGATCACACAGATTTGCCAGTCTAATACAGACTATAGCTCATTGCTGGACACAGATGGCAGAAAGTTCAGTAATAATGTTAGAGAAATAGAAGTACTCAAACATTTGTGTTCAGCATGGGAAGGAAGCAGCTGGTATGCTGGAGGATGCGGGATTGTTTCCCAATCTGTTAAGAGCTGTGAAGGCTGCCAAACACTCATGAGATATGGACATCATAAAACAAACCGTGTAATTTGTACCTATGAGTCTTTAGAGAACTGGCTTATTTTCATCCGAAAAAGGTCTAAGAATGCAGGGAACATACAAGAAAACCGGAAGAAAGCTAATAGTGTCAGTGCTCAAGAACAAACATACAGCAATCCAGCACCTATAGGTTGTTTAACCTGACATTCTTTCCAGTCAGAATTATGGCAGAGCTAATATGGCGTTCAATTAATAAAGAGCTAATGAGTAAGAATGTAATTATTGCTAAGCAGTGAGGTTTGTGGGAAATAGGTCACGTTCAGTAAACCTGATTTCTTTTTTTTTTTTTTTTTTAAAGAGGAGTTTCTTTGATAAAAGTAAATGCCAACATGTAGGAGACTTCCTTCCATAAGGCACTGGCTTAGTAGTAAACAACCTTCTGCTTTAAAATCAGCTCCTTATAACATAAGTAAAGCTCATGTGTAGGAGATTGAGAAAGCAAGCTAGGGAACGATCAGTGACCAGGGAGACTTTGAACAGTCCTCTTTGTCAATAGTCTATTGGGAGTGGAGGGCGAAGAGAAGCTGAATTGCCACTTCCACTAAGGCAGCCCAGTACAGCTCACCTCAATGATTAACTGCTCAAAACGTTGCCTCCTGGTAGGCTGTGTGCAGTTCCTGGAGCAGCCAACTATGGCCTTTGTCCGACTAAATGAGGCCGTCTTCCTGGAATCTGTCTTGGAGGTCCCTATTCCTGTCAGATTCATCTTCGTGCTGCTGGGACCAAGCCAGGCCAACATGGACTATCATGAAATTGGTCGATCAATCTCCACTCTCATGTCTGACAAGGTGAGGAGCTGACTAGCAGTAATGTGGGATAGTTTCTTAGAAATCAGTCCTTGGATAAGAGTTCTGAGGCAATGCTGTGGAAAAGTCCAGGTGAGAAAGACAAGCCCAGGCAGCTAGAATTTTTAAAAGCAGCTTAGCTAGACCAAGGTAGGGTGCTCTGTTGCAGAGGGAAGATCAGGATAGACATTTGTCTGAGACGGAGCTGGAGGTAAGGGGACAGGTTTGTACATAAAAGCAGGAGTAAAGTACCACCCAAGATTAGAAGAGTTGTATTCAGTTCATATTTCACAAACAGAGGTGAGGAGGCCAAGCGATGCCTGTGACCATGATGCCTGGCTCAGGACACACTGACTACACTACCTCGCAATGCCTGGTACTGTTCATCAAGAGTTTTGCCTTCTAGCTAAGCCCTATGGCTGCAACATTCTTGTAGAAGCACATCAGTGCAGGAGGAGAGATGTGGAATAGAACAGGTTTTCTTCCAGGCGTATGTAATGCTAGAAGTTCCCCATCTGGCTAGATGGCAGGAAAGTGAAATTCATTATTTTGGTAAGGAATTAAAGGCAAAGAAGAGATAATCTGAACATCTGTTGAATATATCCAAGACAGGAGAATAAAAGTTCACGGTGTCTTCCTTGCTAGTGCCTTCAAACTATTAACTGAGTAACAAGCCTAGCTCTCTAGGACCGGTAGAAAGTCCACTCAGAGCAGGTGGGCTGTAGGCAACAAGAGCTGAACAGTCCCTTCCCAGGAGTTGCATGGAGCTCAGCTGAGGCTGTTCTGAGTTAGAAGAGATGAGCTGCCATATTCTAGCTTCAGTGCTGCATTTGTGGACTGATTCTGCTCATCTGAGCCTCTGCTACTCTTGCTGGATCAGGGGAGTCAGCAGCAGCAGCTGAGACTGTATATTGCAAGGTTACATGGTGACTGGCGCCGGGAAGAGAGGACGGTATCATTTACAGCTTGAAGTTGTGGCTCCAGGGAGTCTGTGTACTGCAGAGACTTTAGCTATCCCTACCTGCTTCACAGGCTGTTCACTTGTTCATCATCTTATAGCCCTTTCAGTAAGTAATGCAACACTTCCACCTGTTCACCAGCCACCTCCCTACTATTTGTAGTAGTGCTGTCCCCTCATGATCTCTATGGAGCCCTTCTTTGTCATCTTGTCCTTGTTGGCAGGAGCATCTCCAAATCTTTCTGCCTGGTTTCACCTGTGCAGCTTCTCTTCTATTGTAGATACCTGTTTTCTCTTCCTCTACCATTGTAATAGTAGCAGAATCAACACAATGATAAGATGTTACAAAAAGGAGGATACTCACTTGTCTCTGAAGATCTAGGCTTGCAGAAAGGGATCTCCAGCAAGAGATCCTTCCTTGGTAGCTGTCAGCCCTTAAATGAGGTCTAAGCCAGGTTCCACCCCTTCCAGTCAGGTGAATTATGTTCACCTGTACTTCCAGGGCTTTTCTCCAGGTGCTCAGTTGGTGGTTCAGGTTGTGATTTGGCAGTTCTCATACAACCATATTTTCTGTATAGGCACCAGGATAGCTAAGAAGCACAGGGCTAAATTTGTTTGTAGGAGAGGTTCCACCAGGGGAGTTGTGTGCTCTGGTTAAATGCGTAGCTAGCAGAGATGCTGCAGAAGCACAGTTTTGGGCTAGAGCTGTAGGGCTGAGGGAGAAAAGCAAGGAGGTCACTGGGAAGGATAGCGCAGGAAGGGAGGAGAGGTGTTATTAAGGTATTAAGTGAGATATTGGGTAGAAGAACAGGGAGGGAAGGTTCAGAAAGGTGGGTCCTGGAGTGGCAATAGTGATACAAAGAGCGAGTGGAGGGAGTGGGCTGTTACTGAAGGGTCACAGGAAGTGATGATTCTAGGCTATAGATGACTGAGCACAGGCTTGGTCTGAACCTTCTCCTCCTTTTTCTTTGCTCCTCCCAGCATTTCCATGAGGCTGCGTACATGGCTGATGACCGTCAAGATCTCCTCAATGCAATCAATGAGTTCTTGGACTGCAGCATTGTCATTCCTCCATCTGAGGTGGAGGGGAAAGACTTGCTTAAATCCATTGCCACCTTCCAGAAGCTGCTGCTGAGGAAGAGGAAGGAGAGGGAGCAGAAATCCATGAAGGAAGGAGATGTCCAGGAAGCGAAAGGTCTCTCCACTCACATTTGGGCAAAAGAGTTTGTGCCTAGTGCCCTGCGTGCCCCGGTGGGCCTTCCCCTCACAGAGCCTGGCAGAGGGGTGAGCAGGGCCTGGCTCCAGCAGTAGGCAGTCGTGGTGGGGGGCAGAAGGCAGGGGTATAATGGAGGCAGGACAGAGGCTGTAAGCAGCTGGGGACACCCAGAGGCTGTGGGATGTGCGGTTATGGGAGGCCAGATTAGCATGGCAAGAGGAAGATCTCCATGGGGTATGCAGAAGGGCAGCCCAAGGGGGGCCCTGAATTCCCTTGCTCAAGCGCTGCCCTCCATGCACCTCCAGAGCTGTGTGAAGTGAAAGCTGAGGAAGAGGAGGAGGAAGCTGAGGATGACCCTTTGAAGCGGACTGGAATATTTTTTGGAGGTCTGGTTCGGGACATAAAGCGCAGGTACCCCAAATACCTCAGTGACATCAGAGACGCCTTGCACAGCCAGTGTCTCGCAGCCGTTCTCTTCATCTACTTTGCTGCTCTCTCTCCTGCCATCACCTTCGGGGGACTCCTAGGTAATGGGCCTGCTTTCTGGTCTGCTCTTTGCACGCTGGAACACTGGCTGTGTCTGTGGGATGCTGTGCAGGGGTGGGCTTTGGTGTCGCTTACTTAGGGAGAATGGACGTGCTGCACCATGGTCACTGCCTTGTCCTCTCCCTGCTGCTTGGCCTCTCCAGCCTCAGCCCACTGCTTCTTTCCAGGCAGAGCCCAGGGCTGGGGACGGCCACTGGGAGCCATCTCCCCAGTGCTTCCTGGACTCCATCTGCACTCCGTGCCCAGTGCAGGGGATGTCTGACTGGTGGGATAGACCTGCCTCTATGTGGAGCTGTGTCTAGAGACTGCAGTGATAGTGTGTCTGGGCTGTAACACTCACATGTTGTTCTCTTTCCCAGGAGAGAAAACTGAGGGTCTCATGGGGGTCTCCGAGCTGATAATCTCCACCTCGGTTTTAGGGATCCTCTTCTCCCTGCTTGGAGCCCAGCCGCTCCTGGTCATTGGCTTCTCAGGGCCTCTGCTGGTGTTTGAAGAAGCTTTTTACAAGGTACTTGTGAGGCAGCATTCATTCTTGGCACCCACTCACTTTGCTGATGCACTGGAGAGGGCAGCCAGCATTTCCCAGGTCTCCACAGGGGCTGTGTTATCTGGATGCTGTGGATTCTGCCAGGCTGTTCCTAGCTCAGCCAGTGCTGGTTCTGTTTATGCTGACCTGCTGCACGTCAAACTACTGGGACTTCTGTCTCCCGTTGCTATTTCCCATGGGCTGTCCCTGTTGAAATGTGACAGTGGTAGCAGCACTCTTTATCTGCTGAGTGCAGTTGAAGCTTTCTCCCCCAGCCCTGCATGTCATTCTTCCTGACGTAATGAACACACGTAGCAGCATCCTAAAATACTGCTCCAGAATATTTTACCTATGACTCCAGCCTTGAAATTGCTGTTCTGTGCTGGATGCCTGTGGAGAGGAAAATGCCTTTTACCAGGGGAGTCTATGGTCTTGATGGGGAAAAGAGGAGGGAGAAAGCCTGAGGAGGCATGAGTAATTTATTACCCTTGTCATTTCAGTTCTGCCAGACACAAGGCATTGAGTACCTGACAGGCAGAGTGTGGATTGGTTTGTGGCTCATCGTTTTCATCTTCATTATTGTGGCAGCCGAAGGAAGCTTCTTGGTGCGCTACATCTCGCCCTTCACCCAGGAGATCTTTGCTTTCCTTATCTCCCTCATCTTCATCTATGAGACGTTCTACAAACTGTACAAGGTGAACCTTCCCCTGGGAGATGGGTTGGCACGTCTCTTAGGGCCCCCAGGAACCTGCCCCTTCAGCATATGAGAAGCAGCAGAACAGGGGCATCACAGCCATATCTTCCCTAGGAGTTGTGCAGAGCAGCTCTCTGCTGGCCTCCTACAGCCCAGCACAACCGACTCCTGTGCCACCAGAGGCTGGCAGGGTGATCCCTAACATCTGCCTTCCACTCTCTTCCTGCAGGAGGCATTAAAGAGAGGCCACTTCTCTCTCCTCAGCCCTCTCCAGCTGGATAGGTTGTGAGGCGAGGTGACAGATGCTGAGACTGTCTGCGTCCACCATCTAACTATTCTCCCTCCTGCCTTTCTGCAGAGCAGATGCCTTTCACATCCCCTCATCCCCAGTAGTGACAATATCCTCTGTCCCTCACTACAATGACTGTGCCTGCTGCTTCTCTCACCTGCCCAGGTGTTTGCAGAACATCCTCTGCTGAAGTTTTACCCACCAAATGTGCAAAGCGGCCTGAACGCCAGCATGCTCTCTGCAGATGCCATGTCACTGGGAATCAGGATGCAGCCCAACACTGCTCTCCTCTCCCTCATCCTCATGCTAGGCACCTTCTTCATTGCCTTCTTTATGCGCAAGTTCAAGAACAGCCGCTTCTTAGGAGGAAAGGTGAGAAGTTTGTGGGGCCAGATGATGGGGTTTGAGAGATGCGCCAGACAAATAAAGCTTCTTGCTGCAGCCCTTTGTTCCTTGTTGAAAGTTTGAATGAACTTGACTAGAGCACTGTGTCCCCTTTGTGTCTTATCCAGCCCTATGTGATCATAACTGCACCTTGAAGTGCTGCTTTGCTCTGTGTGATGCTGGTACCATCACCCAAAGAAACATAAACAATTGCTTAAATGCCATGCAGATAGGATGGTAACTTGGCTGTAGGCTGTGGGTGAGAGCTGGCTGTTAATCATAGTATCTTCCCTGTCCTACTCCAATGAGCCTTTCTGAAAACTCCTTTGGGCCTTGGGAAAACTCCTTTGGTTGGATACACGTCTGTTGAACTAGAATAAAAGAGGATGAGCTTACAGCTTGTTCCCTTTTGACATTTCTATACATGCAAGGCATCTGTGTCATACCTGGAGCACCAACAAAGTAGGCCAATTGGAGCAACTGGCTGATCACGCAGGAGTGGCTGGAGGACCGTGCCTTATGGGGCAGTGGGATGCTCAGCCCCATGGGCCAGCACTGCTCTTCTTGTCCTGCTCAATGACAGTGCTCAGGCTCACAGCAGCACTTACCCCATCTGGCCCTTGGCATGGTGGGTGCGAGGAGCCAGCATGTGCTCTTTGCCAGCAAGGGTGTTTGTTCCACAGGCTCGGCGGATCATTGGAGACTTCGGGATCCCCATCTCCATCTTAGTCATGGTGCTGGTGGATTACACCATCACAGACACATACACGCAGGTATGTGCCGGCGCTGCCTCGGAGCCCCTCCTCCAGCACAGGCAGTGATCCATGCCATGCCATGGCCTGCTCTTGTGCAACTGGGGATTTACATTTCCTGCCTTGTTAGTCATAACAGTGCAAAGCAAACAGAAATGCTTCCCTCAACCTTACTCCCACACTGAAAAGAGGCTCTGAGGGTCTATCTGAGATGGAAACCAGAGCTGTAAGGGCTGGAGTGCTCCAGAACCCCTCTGATGTTCCTGCTGTTAGTAGAGGAGGTTTTTGAGAACTAGAGAGAACCAGCACAGTTAATTCCCTCTTAGTAACTCTAAAACCTCGTATTTGATTAACAAGACGTAACCAGTTTATTCACACTGAAAAGGATGCCATAGAATAGTTTCAGTGGTGTATTCAGTCATATTTTTAGTACTTACATGTGTATGCTCTCCTTGTCTGTAGGCTACTAAATATTTTCGTCATTTCATCTCAAACACAATGATCTCCTTCCCAGCTTATGCACAAACATAAATGCTATGAAACATAGCCACCTCACAGATTTCCTTAACCCCCCCCCCCCGCTCTTTTTTTAATAGATGCACTGTTAAATCTTTTTGTTTTGGTATTTATTTCAACTAACATCAGGGAGAGGGTGAAAGGCAGTTCCTGTTTGGCATGCAAGCTTTTTATAAAGGCAATCCAAGGCTTAATGGATTCCAAGTGTATTCTTAGTAATTTAAATCTCAATGTAAAATCTGGCTTTATCAGACAATAGTAAAATCATATGCTTTGTTACATCCTTTTCATACCCCTCTATTCTACTACAGTTAATATCAAAAGCATTATCACTTCAGTATTAACTCAGCATATGTACAAAGCTTCCTGAGAAAACAGTACTTAGTTACACAGCTTAGCTCAAGTACAAGCATTCCAGAAATATTATTCATACTTATGCTGATTAACATAAATGCAAATCATAAACTCTCACTGCAATGTTCGTGCAGACAGATAGCAAGAGCTGCTGTAGAGCACTGCAGAGCCAAGAGTTTCTGTGCTGGTGAATGCATGGTTGGGCCCATGGAGAGAAGGGACTCTGTGTGGTCTCTGATGGGAGTGCAAACTTGATATGCCCTCTGAACATGCTGAGAGTGAGGTCATTTCCAGAGAATGTGGCCAGTTCCAGGGCCCACACTGCAAAATTAATACTGAAAAATGTCTCAGAAAAGGCTTAGTGTTTGGAAAACCACCTCAGAGAAAAGTTTCCAGTCCAAGATGCTTGGTTTATCCAAGCAGAGGTCAAGGAGCATTTTAAACATGATCTGCAAGCCCTGACATGTGGGTGAAGTTCCTGAGAGAAGATAGATAACTGGTCTCTTGGACAAAACCCAAGTGAATTCCACGAGCTAAAAGAGGAAATGAGACAGGCCATTGTTAGAAATGGGGGACATGGGATTTTTTTTTTTTTATTTTATTTATTTTTTTTTTACACTGAAGTGGATAACCCATGAGAAAACTCAAATCAGCGTGGTGTCCCATCACTAGAGGTGTTCAGACCAGGGTGGCTGGGAGGATCAAGGCTAGTGGGCATGTATGCATTGATGAATAACTGTTCGGTTTTGTGGCTACACCATCAGAAGCTGAATGTCCCATCTGGCTTGTCGGTCACATCACCTCACAAGCGTGGCTGGTTCATTCACCCCATGGGCAGCAATGGGACCTTTCCATTGTGGATGATGTTTGCCTCTGCCATCCCTGCTCTCCTGGTCTTCATTCTTATCTTCATGGAGACACAGATCACTACGTGAGTACTTCCCCTGCTAATACCCACTGTCACTAACCTTCGGGCAGGCAAGGCTGGGATGGTCACTGGTGCCACTGGCATGGAAACATACCCAGCATCCCAGTGGGATAACCAGGGCAGGGTCCTGCCTGTTTTAGGCTGTAACTTCTTGGGTTCTCCCATAATCTCTCAGCTCCCCCTAGGATACTGTATAATCAATGGATATTAAGATATTATAATCACAAAATAAACAAGAAAGTTAGGCAAAGTAGATTATGATAACAAAAGAGAGTAAATGGAAGGCTTACCTTAGGCTGGGCTCACCCACAAAAACACCAGTAGAGGTGATATCCAGAAGAGATCCTTTCCCACTGGTAGCCAGCTCTTAAATAGGTCTAGGAGAGGTGGAGCCAGGCTCCACCCCTTCCAGCAGCACAGGTGAATTGCCTTCACCTGTGTTCCTCTGGCTGACTCATGGCTCACCTCTGATCAATCAGAGGTTCAGGCCGTGACTCAGTAGTTCCCATACAGATACGATGTGATGGTGATCTGCTTCAAGCAGATCAAGAAGGAAACCTCTAATTTAAGGTTGGCTTCTGCCCTTCCTGTGCCTGTCCGTCTCCTTGTCCCCATGTATGCCCTATTCAGGGAGTGAACGTTGTCCCCAACTGCACTGCTGTCCCTGGGCACTGATGCTTCCTGTGATGCAGTTGTGCCTGACTGACACAGGCTCTTTTTCCTCAGGCTGATTGTGAGCAAGAAGGAGAGGAAGCTGTTGAAAGGCTCTGGCTTCCACCTGGACCTGCTGCTCATTGGCACTATGGGGGGGCTCTGTGCACTCTTTGGACTGCCCTGGCTGACCGCAGCAACAGTGCGCTCTGTCACCCATGTCAATGCCCTGACGGTCATGAGCAAGGCCATCGCACCAGGAGAGAAGCCCAAGATCGAGGAGGTGAAGGAGCAGCGTGTGACAGGAGTGCTTATTGCTGCCCTTGTCGGTGAGCCTTTGTTTGGGTGAAGTGGGAGGGTCAGGGCTGCCCACTCAGATCTCATCATGCCTGTGACCCTACCCTACTTGCAGGGACTGCCCCCACCTACCCTCACAGCAGCTCCCCCAAAATTGGTTTTTCTCCAGCCAGACCCCTCTTGAACTCTTGGGGAGCTGGGGGCAGAGTGGCTGGCATGGGATGAGCTGTGCTCTGAGCTCTGTCTCTGCAGGCCTGTCTATTGTGATGGGGAACATGCTACGGCAGATCCCGCTGGCTGTGCTCTTTGGCATCTTCCTCTACATGGGGGTTACATCTCTCACGGGCATCCAGCTCTACGAACGACTGCTCCTGATTTTCATGCCAGCCAAGCACCACCCCGACCACATCTATGTTGTTAAGGTGAGTGAAGGCAAGCTGCAGGAGAGTGGAGGAGGAAGAGGCAGGCAAGGGAGGATGGTGCCTTCTTGGTGATGTTAGCTTTGATGACTTCTTGGTGATCCAGGAGGGAGGATGTGTCCTTAGACTGGATTTACTTCCCTAGGTAAAGACGTGGAGGATGAATCTCTTCACCTGCATTCAACTGGCCTGCATTGTGCTGCTCTGGGTGGTGAAGTCTACGGTGGCATCTCTAGCCTTTCCCTTTGTCCTGATCATGACAGTGCCATTGCGACGCTTTGTGCTGCCCCGCTTCTTCCACGACAGGGAGCTCAAAGCCGTAAGCAGACAGCTGTCCTTAAGTCTAGCTCAAAACAGTGTCGTGAGGTTGAGGAGATTGGGCAGACCAAAAGGCTTGGAGATCTGTGGCCACCAAAGCTTTGCCTTTCCCTTCTGTATGTGGTGGTCTGGGATGGGTGGTGGCTTCCTCTGAGTTTGTAGCCCTGAAAACATAATGTGGAATGGGTGGGCAGCCAGAAGGAAACAGAGAATCTCTGTGTACAGAGGCATGGAAAAAAGGCTTGCTTTTCTATCCTTCCTCTCATTTGTGGCTATTTCATCAAGGAGACACCCTGTTTCTGGAGGCAGCAGCAAGGGCAGCACACCATCTATTTGGCAGAGGAGCACTTAATCACAGTTTCAGGATGCTGGCAGCTCCTCAGGTGATGCCTCCTGAGCTCTTGTTGAAGAGCACTCTGGAGCTGCAGCCAGAAGCATGGTGTCCCTCTGGGTGCTACTGGCAGGGAAGGAGCTGCTGTGCTGAACCAATGCCCAGTGCTCATGCACTGTCAGAATAAGAATGTTTTGGGTTGGGGAAGCACCAGTGGGCAGGAGGGGCAGAAAAAAGGGGCCTGTTGGGAGGGAGGGAACAAGAGCTTCGCTATTCCTGGAACTGGTGCAGCTACATTGCATAGCTCAATGCACATTGGCACACTGGGCTGCTGTAGCCTTTAAAACCTGCTCTCTGTCTCTCCCAGTTGGACTCGGAGGATGCAGAGCCGAACTTTGATGAGGATGGCCGGGACGAGTACAATGAGCTGCACATGCCTGTGTGAACTGCAGCCTGCCCTCCCTGCACTTGGGATAGGCTGCTCACACCTGCTTGTCCCCTCATGGACTAGTAGGAGACTTGCCACCAGTCGAGCAATCTTGTCTGGACCAATGAATGGCTGTTCCATAGCTCTGCAGGAGGCAGCCCCTGCTCCTGCTGTCCCATCACTCACTCAGCAGAGGCTGCTCGTCTCTCTCTCCTTTCAGACCTGAGGGGCTGAGAAGTGCCTCTCACATCCCAAAGCTGTGTGGGTCCAGAGCGCCTGTGGGTCAGGGGTCTGCCCTGTCACTGCTGGAGGCAGCCTGTGTTCAGTCTCTGGGTGGTGAAGGGGAGCCATGCCAGCTGGTACCACTGTGTCCCACTCCATTTCCATGAAGTTTGGGTGTCATGCCATGATGCACTTTGGGCAGTCACAGGAACAGGCTGTCTGTGCACAGACAGTGGTCTCCGCGCAGGCTGGGTGAGGACACCAGCCTCTATGCTCAGCTAACAGATGCCTTGCTCCTGCTCTCTCTGTTCTTGCAACCAAATTGCTGTCCTCTGCGCCTGAGTCTGGAGCTCCGTGGGAAGTAATGCCAACTGAGCTCTTAGTGTGTGCTCCAGCACAGGGGCGAGGAGATACCAGTGCTCTTCCGTGCTTGGCACAGCTTCCACTGCACTACTGGGACAGGCACTGCTGTATCCTGGCATCTTGCAGATGAGGGGTGCTCTGCAGGTCCTGTCCTCCAGGCTTTCAGCTGGAGGCCACTCTCTCACAGGACTGGTTTCCACCCTTGCCCAGCATTCAGGAGGCTATTTGTCTCCTCATAATTTTTCCAATACTCCTCCCAGTGCTGTTTTCCTTTTGGGAAGAGATAAACAGGTACCTTGAAGCCTTGGGTGCATGCCCAACAAACAACAAAGGTTACAAGAGGTCCCAGTCTCCATCTTCCTGTCCTTGAGCACAAACCACATTTAGGAACTCTGTAAGAGGTACAGTGCTGGAGCATGAAATAGTCCTGTGGTCCTCTCTCTTTCCCTGTGCAGTGATCACTGGTTCTGGCTCCTCGCAGCCCTATGTTGAAGTCACAGAACCCCTTGGCCCATTTCAGCTCCCATGCTGGAGTGACCCTTCATGTCCATTTCAGCTGGAAAGAAGCAGCATTCAGCGTGCCCAGCACTTAGCCCTGGCCTCCTTGGGCCTGGCAAGGATGTGTCCTAGGATCTCCTGGACCAGCAGCCTCCATTCAGAACAGGCAGCCTCAGCTAGCAGCTCTGGCACATGGGCAGCTCTGATGTAGTGCCCTGATGGTAGGAATCAGAGTTGCCTTGTGGAGGAAGCTGGGATGTGTGTTCCAACACTGATCAGCCATCAGATTTGGGACAAGCCACTGCCCTGGTTCCCGTTTATCAGCCCGGCTCCTGTGGGAGAAGGTGGCTCCCACACCTCCCCGGGAGGCTGCACAAACACCCACAGAGAGCAAAGCCCCTCCAGCAGCAGGCTCCAGCCCCACCGCCGCGCCCACGCAGGGTGTCTGTGTGTCTGTGGCCGTGTGCATCCTGTCCTCCCTGTGTAGTGTAGGAGGCTGTTGTCGCTGTGCATTGTGACTCCTCTGACTGTAGTGGAAACAGCTACACCAATAAACTTCACAGGAACCATGTGTAGCTCCCTGCCTGCTGGATGAATGGGGGAGATACGGTGGGCAGAGCTGGTGGGATGGGTGGGCACTCAGCGAAGGAGTAGCGGGGCTGGAGAGCAGGAAGCAGGGAAGTCTTTTCCTCATTTACCACCTGAATCAGTAACTAAAAGTTTGTTAACTGGGGGTATGTTAAATTGATTAAAATTCCCTGACCCAAAACTGCTGCTTGCTCACAGCAGCTGCTGCTGAGGGAACAAACCTGGTGGGAGTGAGCACTGTCCCATCGTCAGATGAGGGTTTTGCCACCATCGTTAGTGGCTGCAGGAGGCTGAGCTGGCTGGGTTGGGGACCCCATGCTGCCTGCTGGGCTAGCAGTTGGGAGCCCCATATTTAACCCAGGAACATGCACTTGCATCTGCATGCAGCCATACACACGCATGTCTGTGCGTGCACGTTCAACAGCACGCAAGCTCATCTCTTAACCCAGCCTGAAGAAACGCGCCAAGCAGCTAAGTACAGAGGAAACGTCATTATATACACTTTCCCTCCACTCTTTCTTCCCAGATGTGAGCCAACCTGGGCAGACAGCCCACAGCCCTGCCCCAGCTTCATGCGATTAGTAGTCCCCTGGCTGCTCCTGAGGCTGGGTTTGCTTTCTGGCAATGGAGTAGGTGGCAGAGGGTTGAGCAGGGGTTGTGGTCATCCTACTCCGGGGCTGCTCCCTCTGTAGGACAGCCAACTCCTGGCCCAACAGCATCTTCTCCAGGTGCTGGCAGTGCTGCTGAACCTGCAAAAGGAGGCAGAAGGAATGCTTGGCTCCTGCACGTGCAGCATGGTCGGACAGTCTGGACAGGAGCATTCACACAGAGCCAGACCGCACCACTTACTGCATTGATCCTGTGGATAAGGACGGGCCTGACCTCCAGCTCCTGCAGACAGTCAGCCTCCAGGATGCTGTGGTGATGCTCCTCCAGCTCCAGGTGCTTCTGCAGCTCTTCCATCAGGGCAGCTGGAGGTGCATGCCCCCAACGTCCTGCATCCCCAGGCTGCATCTCCTGGCATTGCAGCTGCAGGCACAGGGCACAGATGCGCCGGGTGACACTACAGATCTGGGTGTGCAGGGCAGCTGCTTACTTGGCACTGGGCAGCAAAACCAGCAGCTCCTCCCAGCTCTCCTGCAGTCGGGCCCGCAGTGCCCCAGCACTGCTCCCCGCCCCCCAAAGCTGCATTGGGGTGAGAAAGTCTGGGGGCCGGGGAACCTTACTGCTTGGCTGCATGGAGCCTGGAGGTGGGTAGAGGATGTACCTGCTCTGGTGCAGATGGACCCACCGCTGGGCAAGCTCAGCTGTGGCCAGGCCCTGGTAGAAGATGTCGGGAAGCAGCCGCAGGACCTTTGCCACAGGCCCTGCATTGGCAGAGCCACTCAGATCACGCAGACTGTGGGGGTCGAACACCCGCTCGTGGAGCATCCCTCCCCGCAGCAGCAGTGCCCAGTTGCAGCAGTGGGCAGGCAAAGAGGAGTGTGGCCAGGTGTGGAATGGAGGTCGGGGGGAGCAGCTCCTCATGCACATCACAGAGCGGGAATACCACCCTTGTGTCATACCTCTCCTTCATGGCCTGCAGGTGCTGCAGGTAGGAGCCCAGCCAGCCCACATAGCCACACACATCTGGGGCTGTGCTGTTGCACATGCCCCGCAAAGACATCAATCTCACTTTCAAGGGCAGAGTAGAGAGCCTCCGTGGGGGCGGAGGGCTGGCAGCTGGGATCAGAGCTCACCTTGAGGGCCAAAACCGCAGCAATATACCATGCAAGGGGAGCAGCTGGATGCCTGTGTCCCAGCCCAGCCCTTTGGGATGCTCTGGGATGGGCAGATGTCCTGCTCCTTGCAAGTTGCTCAGTTATGTCTACACTCTGACTTGTAACTTCTCCTGCCTTCGCTGCCTATACAAAAGCAAGCTGTCAGCCTTGCTTGTCTGGAGAAATCCTAAAAATAGGAAGTCCGTTTCCCAAATTATCAGCTGTATTATTTTAAACCATTGTGTGCTTATAGAAACTATTTGGTTTTCTGTCTCTGCCACCTGTGTCCAAGCATGCTCAAGCTATCTTCTTAGTTAGCTATTTTTGCTCTCTGCAGCCAGGAGGGGCTGGCATATCTCTGCTGGGATATAGTGCTGGCACTGCTCGTGTGGCTGCGCTTCTGGGAAGAACATCAATGGCCAAGATTAGCTCCATGGCAAACCTGGGAGCCAGTGCCACTGACAAGTTGCCCCTTTCCCCATATCTCTGTATGTCCTTGCTGAGCCCAGCTGTCTGCTTTTCAGTCTCTCAAACTTTAGAAAAATAAATTAAAAAATCACAACAAGTGAATCACACTTCGCTTGGACTCCACACATTCCTGCCGCAGCCCCAGCCCCCCACTCTGCCCCTTTCTGCCCTTCCTGCACTGAAATAAGGCACTCACTAGCCCAGGGAAAGGCTCCGAGGAGAGGAGAAAGGGCTGAGCCACAGGCACCAGGACATGGACACAAACCTCCCTCCTCGTGGGAACGGCAGGCTCAGACCTGCTCTGGCCTTACAGAGCTGGCTGCCATCCCCCAGACCTCAGCCGTGACCATGGGTGCTGGCAGGGTGACTTCTCCCCTCTTGTGCCTTCCTGCAGCCAGAGACAAAGGCAGAGCTGCGGGTGCCTGCTGGAGCAGCCTGGCCGGAGCGATGCCTGCAGCTGGCTGAAACCTTTCTGAAGCATGAGCTGCACAGCAATGCTGTGTGTGTGAGCACAGCCCTGCTCACACGCGTGGTCTAGCAGGATCCACGAGGCTCTTTGTAACGGAGCCATCTGTGAGCTCATGGCACACGCGCCATTAATAGCGAGGTCTGGGTCAAACAAAAGCAGGGCGGGCGTAATGGGAGAGGAAATTAAGTGGATGTGCTTGGCTGGCCCTGTCCCTGCGTGTTCCTACTGTAATTACTGTCCTGTGCAGCTCAGCTCCTCCATTCAGTGATCTCACCACCAGGCTGCATTTCTCCCAGCCCAGCTGTGCAAACCACGCGTTGGCCCCTTAAAAACATGTATCAGTGTGATGGGAGCAGGGGCAGGGACCTCAGCTGGGGCATGCAAAGGAATAGCAGGATGGGGGAATAGGACCAGGGGCCCTATCTGCAGGAAGACAGCTGCTTAGGGACTTGGTCTGCCCAGCATCACCATGGCAGCAGGAGAGGCACGGCTCACACTCCTGGGGTGCAGCCAGGGGAGGTGCCCCTAACAGCACGCTTGTGCTCTCCGGGGGAGCAGGTGCTGCACTGCTCTATGTTGCCCTGTGAGAGCCTCTCTAGGCAGCCTTAATCACATTCCTCTGGAGCAGGGACACATCTGGCATGAACACAATCCTGTCCCAAGAGAGCCTGGGCTGATTCCTGCCACACAGCTCCCTGGCAGCTCTTTCATGTGGCTTTGATCATCACCATTCTCATCTTGCTGGGGACAGGGATGGTTCATGGGAAGGAGGAACTGCCCATTGCAGGATGGTGCTCACACGGCTCTGGGGAGCCACTGGGGTGATGCTGCCAGCTGTGTGCCAGGCCCATGGCAGAAGGAAGCAGGATGTGCCTCGTGTCCAGGAGGAATTCCTGTCGCTGTGTCCCCGCCAACTGCCCAGCCAGCAGGAAGCTGACTCACTGACTCACCGCTGTGCATCCAACCTTCCTGGTGAGCAGCACCTAGCAGAGACAGGGGTCTGCAGGGGGGCTGTGTGGATGTGGGGAGATGGCTGGGGAGGAACAGCCTATGACAAACTCACTGCTGCAGAGGGGACTGTCAAGGACAGCACTGCGTTGATGTAATCCCCTCAGCCAGCAGGGTAATTGGCCTTGCGGATAGAAGTATTAGATGGGAGATAAGGGCCAGAGCTGAGCAGCTGGCACAGCCTTGTGCCATGTTTTCCTAAAACAGGGAAAGAAGTGCTGATTAAGCTAATCCAGCATGGGTACAGAACTCAATTTTATGATTCTATGGTCATGCCCAAGGAGGCTCTACAGCGATCTGCTATCGAAGTGAAAGATGCACTGACAGCCACTGACATGTTGGGAAATCAGAACGTTTGGATAGCGAAGGTGGACCAGAGTGGTGGAAATGGCTGGCACGGGGCAGGTGGGCATCTCCCTGAGCGGGACTGTCCTATGGCAGAGGCTGCACGGCGCTATTCCCATCAGCCGCACCACTCTCCCTGTTCCAGACCACATCTGTCTGCCCGCAGCGGTGTCCCGCTGTCCCCTCCGGCTCCACGCCCTTCGTCGAGTCCCGCAGCGCTCTGCTCCCCGCCGCCGTGCCCGCTGCCCGGAGGGAGGGGGGGGGGGGGGGGCGGAGGGCTGGCCGGGCCGCTCCCGGCTGCTTGCGGGGCGGAGCCAGCAACACGGCGCGGTGCCGGCGAGCGGTGCCGGCGGGACGCGTCCAGCCCAGCTCGGCGATGCGGCGCTGAGAGCCGCTCCGTGCCGCCGATGGACGCCTCGCTCCGCCAGGTGGGTGCTCCGGGCGGGCAGGGGCAGGGCAATGGCGGGGCCAGGATCGGCGGGGAGAAGGATGCTGCGCTGACCGTATCGAGGGAGCCCAAGTTTCACTTTTTCTCTGGCTCTCGGATCTGGTCGCCGAGCGCCGCCCGGGTCCGTTGTGTCAAGGGCCGGCTGCGCGGAGAGAGCCGGAGCTTACGCGATGCGCGGTTCCGGCCGTTCGTGCCGAGGGCTCCTTGCAGGAGCGGGGAGAGGATTTGTCGCATGATAGTCATGGCTGCCCAGATACGCTCGCGTGCTTCTTTAATCCCCTGGAGCAACCGAAGGGTCCGGAGCCTGCCGCTGCCTGCGTATGCGTGTCACGGCTCGGCTGCCGCACGTGGCACGGGGCCAGAGCCCGCTGAGGGATCGGGAAGGCGTGAGGTGATGGGAGAGGAGGGAGCGTCCGCCTCCATCCTCGGCCTCGCCGTGCCGCTGCCCGGTCACTGTCCTACGGCTGCTCTGCGGCCGCGCCG